AAATAGAGAGAGCTTATTTTATATAATTCGGATGAGTGACGAATGCCCGTCGGCCGTGCGACGCAATCTACCAAAAATTCCACAAAAGTTAATTCACAACACGCGTAACTCGACTACTATTAAGGGCGTGACTCATTCGAATTGATTACCTACAATAAATCGGCAACAAAATCGGGCTGACGACACTCGTCCCACCGACTGGAAGCTCTCGATTCTCTTTCTTGTCCGGTAATTAGGATACGCTCTGTGAGGCCTGCGTCCTTCTCGCTATCTCGCCGAACGAGAGTCCTGCAGGAGACACGCCGGCGCGATAAATCGCTATCGTGCCACCTGTGGCGCTTTCGCATTACGCAGGGCCGTCCTGCGGTCCTCGCGGTCCTGTTGTCGTCACGGCCGTGTTGGTGGGTTCATCGCCCCGGAATTTCCAAAATTTTGTTGTCGTTTGGCTTAGAGGTACGGGCTTACGGCTGTGCCCGATCGGCTCTCCTCCTATTTTACTGAATAGGCCCATGGGTGAGAGTCCTCTCGCCGCTCCGTCCTTGGGACTCCCTCGATTCGTGCGGGTGGGGTGGCCGCCCCTTCGGCCGGATTCTTCCGGCCCTTCGCGCCTCTTTCCTGGCGTAAGAAATATAAGATTACCGGCAGCGATGTTTCCTTGCCACCAAAAAATAGTTTTTAATATTATAAAACTACGACCTGACGTCTCCTGTTCCCTGGGTGTCCCGGACTCCCGCTCTCGGCTGTCGCTCTTCTCTCTTCCTCTTCTTCCGCCGGGTGGGATCTCGCCGCTCGACCTTGTGCCGACAACTAACTCGCGGGCTCATATCGAGCATACATTTTTGATTCTTAAACAAAAAGTCAGATCTCGTCGATCTGACGATCGGGCCGCTCTCTCCCTAAATTAGGAGGACGCAGGCCCCCGAAAAACCGCCCGCGATCGGGCCATTCGGCCCTTGTGACGGACGTCCCAAAAACGTCACGTCACAATATACACTGTCGAACAATTAAGTTTCGAGATTCGCTTCGCATTTCCGAACGTTCGATCAGTTTGTGCTGCCATTTTAGAGGGTTATTTACAACTCAACACTCAACACGTGGTGCAAGTTTTAAATTATTTGGTTCAATAGTTAATGAGATACAGTCACGCAAAGTTGTGTTACAAAATTTTGTTTAAAAGTCAGTGTAATAGAAGAAACGCGTGACAACGCGCCAACTTTAAATTCTGCGTTAAATTAGTGAAGTCTCCAACAGAAATGTTTCAAATGATTCAACAAGACTAGTCCTCTGAAGCAAGCCCTTTCAAAATTTGATTCACGTTTTTTTTTATTAAAAAATTTAAAAGTTGTGAATAAAGTTTCTGTAATGTTTTTACAACTTTTTTATGCTACATAGATTTCGATTATGGGGATTTGGAAAATGCAGCCATTTGGTACCTACATCACTCTATTTTTACTAATTTTAAAAATAATCTATATATTATTTTTCAGCAAAAATATTGTAAGAGCATGAACTGTAAATAATATAGCATATTTAATTTGTATTGCAGCGACAGAAGAAAAATTCGATCTTGTATACACAAGAAAAGCTGTAAATAACAAAAATGGAGTCGAAATAACATGTTTGGCTGAAGGACTTTACCCTCAACCGACTTTAGATATCTCTATTGAGTAAGTGCTTTTGCAATCTATTATAATACTTTGAAATAACATAATGTCTTATAATAACATATGTCTTATAGTAACATAAATTTCTAATCTTTTTATATCACTAGAAAAACAGGGAATACTTTTCATATACTAAAAAATGAGCTATTTTTAAACTACTGAAACTCAAAACTCAAAAAATCATCGTAGAAAAATAATTAAAAAAGGATTTTGAAGTTTGAATTTTCAGCTTTAACGCACTTTCAATCATTCTTTTTAAATTTTTATATCTTCTTTGTTTTATGCTTTAAGGAAGAACACATTGTTTAGTTCCTAAAAATTATGTATTTTTATGTTACTCCGTAACTCAATAAAAAATTTTTTCTCAAAAAATTTAAGTCGAATTTTATAAACTACCCGACATTTTGCCTACAAAACGTTTTTTTAAAACACCACATTTTTTTTTGCCAAGTTATATGATTTTGAAACTAAACCTGTATTTTCTAGAAATAAGAAAATAAAAAAAATTTTTTGAACTATCGATATCACGTTACAATTGAAACTTCAAGCTTCAAAATGCTTTTTTAATTTTGTGTCCGCGATGATTTTACGCCGAGTATCGACATTAATTTTAAAAGAATACAGGTTTAGTTTCGAAGTTATATAATATTCGGTCAAACAAAAAATGAAAAAATTTTTGGAAAAGCGTTTTGTAGGTAAAATGTTATATTTTTTGGAACTTGGCTTAAATTTTTTTATTGAGCTGCAATTGAACCGAATGTCAAAAATACGTAATTTTAAGGAAAAAACAGTGTGTCCTTTTTTAGGGGTACAAAACTGAGAAGATAAAAAAATTTTGAGAAACTATCGATAGCGCGTTAAAGTTGAAATTGCAAACTTCAAAATGTTTCTTTGATTTTTTGTATACGATGATTTTTCGCCAAGTTTCAGCGGTTTGAAAATATCCCAATTTTTAATAAAAAATGTTCCATTTTTGTATAGTAGGGATAAAACCGTAGGGTAAAACCGGGTACTTTTTTGGATTTGTCTTTCTACAAAAAATCAGAGGGCAAAAAAAACTCTTGACCATTAAAAGTCTTTAGTAGACCTTGAACTATGAGAAAATGAGGCTAGTTGCAGAGAAAAAATATTTAGTTACCAAGGATAACAGGATCTTTTGAAGTCAAAATACCCGGTTTTATCCCATCGATAGGGTAAAATCGGGTAAAATAAAACTCATTTGAGAGCATATAAAACACTGTGCAATTACGAAATCTTGATTTATGTTAATCAAAATACAATACAAGAATGTATTCTATAAACAAAAATCACAAACAAAGATATCCTCTTGTTTTACATTGCTGCAGGACTTTCTTTCAATTTTTTAACTTTAGGAGTCTCCAAAAGCTTTTTTTTAGTGATTACTTTTTCTGAGTGGCTTTCTCCATTTCCTATTGCTTTTTGTATGGAGACAAAGTCAGGAAGACAGTTTTTCCTCTTTTTATTATATGAGGTTTGTAGGTACCCGGTTTTGCCTCAACACGAGGAAAATAACAAAATATACGGCGATATATTCCGGCGTATAAAGTGATGATTAAAACTAGTGTGATATACTCTCTAATATGTACAGAATGCAATGCTGCATTTACCAAAGCAAATGCTCTGTGTAGAAAAAATTCACAACTCGATTGTTGCCCCGATATCGATTTTTTTCGGCTCGAAAATTTTGGGCTTCTCTCAAAAAAGAAATATTACATGGGCACGATTCATCTCAAAATAATAATGGCGTTAATCTACAACTAACAAAACGAGTTGGCCAAAGATAGTAGCATTTATCACAAAAAAAGAGAGTACCCTACTTTCCCTTATATTGTAGTTCACATCTAAAAAAATTCTTTTTAAATAGAAAAAAGAGAATAATCATTTCCCGTAGTCTTTTACAATGAATTGTATTACCACATCACAATTTTGAGAAGTTCGCGATTAAAGTTACGAAATAAGACTATTTGATGTATTATTTCATGTTATAGTTACAATATGTAATGTGCTGAAGAAGTTTTGAGTAAATGTTGACATTTGTAAGGAGTGTATAATATTCTATTTGAAAAAAATTGAAGTGACTTTTATAATTTTTAAACTATTCTATTTAATATCTAGTTTGATAAATTTGTCTCTAAATATAGTTTTGGAAATATTAAAGCTAATTCTTATTAATTTTGTTTATGGGGTATAAACAAAAGTAAAAACTATTTTACCAGAGTCTTCCAGAGTTCAAAAACTTTTTGCCATTTTTTTCTGATAATTATCGAGGTAACATAAATTACACATTAAAGAATTTGACCACTAATGCGGTACATTGGACGGACATTTGTGCCGAATGCATGCATTTAGAGACGTGCTTTTACGCGCAGTTCTTTCTTCCACCACCACTAGTAGCGAAAGTATGCAGCCTCTGACATAATGAATTCATGCATACAATTATCTTGCACCATTCTGCAATAATATACGACAAATATGCGAAATTAAAATAAAAGCATTATTGCAACAATAAAATTAAATCTTGAGAAATTATTATACTTTCGGATAGAGCATTTTACAACGTTTCACAAATTTATAGGGATGGTTTATTTAAATATTTTGCCATTTTAGAAACAGCAGACACTGTAAAGAGTCAATTTGCAAAGATGATTAATTGAGAGGATTAATATTAAAACATTAGATAGCTCTAAAAAGAGCTGTTTATGGCACATACTGGTCAAAATAAGTATTCATTACTTTTCTAGAAACAGGAAAGTTGTTCCTTTTTTTTTAATGAACAAGAAGATATATAGGGTGTCCGACAAATAAGTGACCAAACGAAAGGTGGAGGTAGATTGGGTCAAACTGAGTCGAAAAATCCTGAACCATTTTTTTTTATAACGCTTAATAAAGGAATTATTATTGAGTAAAGTCTGACCAATAAGCACCAACCTTTAGCCGGGCGCACGTCGGTGAGCCGCGCGCCGTGAAATATGCCCTGCTGCATACTACCAGGCGCGCGGGGGTAAATTCTTGAGATCAGTTTAAGAAAAAAATTTTAATACCAAGATATTCAGGCTATAATGGTTTTTGAATTAGAAGCATTTAGAGTTAAGCTGCCATTACATAGTAGCATTGAGCATCAAGCGTCTGCGCAGAAACCATCGCGCAGGATTTTCAACAAGATAGATTCCAGTTTCTTGTAGCTAATAGCATGATGAGTCATATGAATTCGGTCGAAATAAAAAAGATTATGTTCTGATATACATCATTAATACTGAAAATTGATTTTTATTTATATTATACACAATAGAAATTATTATTATTAAACAAAATATATTATAGAATGTCACTACTCCCTGGCAGAATATTAAAATATCTAATCAAGAATTAAGGATTATAATTTTCTTAATTTTTTTCTGCATCTTTACAACATATTGCTCCTTTAAATAATTTTCTACTATTAATAATAGTTTTTCAAACTGTGTCATTTTGTCATTTGTGAATCCGTTTTTGTGATGTATTACTAACGTTTTATAATATTTTGCTATAAAAAAACTCTTATACAAAATAGTGTTAGTTTAATTATTTTAATACAAAAACACTATCACATCCAAACTAAAAAATTGTTTTACAAAATAGTTGTTTTAATTTTCTACGAAAATAATGTGATATATGATAAAAATATTGCGCGAACTAATAAAAATTTATGTTACAAAATTTATTTATTATTATTTCTAATATTAAAAATATTTACGAGCAGCCAGATAAAATTAATATATCTATTATATTTCTGAATTATAAAAAGCAACCCTTTTATTTCTTTGATTTCTATTGTACAATATCTCTCTCTCTCTATTTGTACATTCTTTTTTAAAAAAAAATTATTATCATTAAAATTAAAATATATTATTATATGCTTGTGCAATGCTATAAATTGTTTGATTAATACGTCTTGTATCTTGATTATATATCAAAAACGAAAGATGTAAAAAGAAAAAGAACAAAATAATGAATAATATCAGTTATAATATAAACTTCTTCTGTGAAATATATATATCTAATAGCATTCTGACAGATGGAAAAATACAATATAACAGATCTATTATATTCCCTAACAATACTGAAATATGCTTCATCTATTTCAAGCAATGCATTCGCATCGAAACAAGAATTGACTACAATATGTTGATTTGCAATAAACATGATGCCACAGGCTTTGTCAAAATCTTATTAACAGCTTGAAAAATTCTTCTACTTCCACTGAAAAATAAAAGTATATTTATAAATTACTAGCACAACACAACGCGCGCTTCGCGCGCGCTCTTTATTCTTTTTCATTAAACATTTTTAACGATATATACACAAAATAATAACTGTCAAAATATGCAATGACAGCCGCTCACGAAGTAAGCGCAATGACAGAACCAATCAGCGGAAAAGCGACAACAATACACTTCGAGACTTTCGAGTATCGACAATACTTCTGGATAGTTCAATCTATAGAACACAAACATATCTTATAATAAACATATTATAGAATACACACATCTCTTTCTTATAAATATATGTATTGCAATACTTTGTTCTGTTTTTACACGTAGCATAAATTACTTTCGTAATGTTTTAGTTTTCTCTAATATAAATGAGATATACCTGATCGCGCGAGAGACACTACCGTATCTCTTGATGCGTGGACACAGTGGGTTCCGTCCCCCTCCCCCTATGGGGGGGCTCCACTTCCGAAAGATATAACCTAACCCAAACCTATTTCTAATTTATCATGATCTTGACAACATATGCCAAGGTCAACATTGTTGGGTCCGTTTTTATCAAGTTTTATTATCATGTCCAATACTTTAAAGTGATATATCTCGAAAACTATTGGTCAATAAATTTTATTTAGATCTAAATTTAATTTAGAATTATATTTAATTTAGTTATATCACAATAACTGCAATGTGAATGTATTAAAGAATACACTGTCACATCGATTTTGCCGGTCCAATT